CTGTCTGTCTGTTTAATGGAGGTACTAGGGATTGAACCCAGGACCTCTTGCACACTAGGTACACCCTCTACCACTAAGCTATACCCTTCCCCACCTCCTCCCCACCCCGGCTTCTTAGTATCTTGTGGAGGATTTTTACATTAGTGTTTGTAAAGGGATATTGGTCTGTAGTTTTCTGCTCTTGTGATGTCTGCGGTATCAGGGCCATACTGGCCTCATGGAACGAATTAGGTGTGAGGTGCTCCCTCCTCTCTTAAGTTTTTGGGAGAGTTTGAGAAGGACTGATGTTATTAATTCTTCTTTAAACGTTTGGCAGAATTCACCAGTGAAGCCCTGTAGTCTGGGCTTGTCTTTGTCGGGAGGTGGGTACTTTGTGTTGAAGACAAGGCAGCGCGGCGAAGCCCCCTCCCAGGTCACCCGAGGTCACACAGACAGAGACGGTGAAGCTGAGATTGTGCCTATCTTTCTGTGGAGGAGGAGGACTGCGTGGAGCTGAGGGCCTCCTTCTGTCAGCAGCTCCCAGCTTCCTGGTGTGCAGGGAGGGCTCACGCGCACACACTGCACCCACCCTGTCTCCCCTGCACACCCCTTCCCCTTCCACATGGGCAGCAGATGGTCTGGGTGTGAGGTGGCTATGTCACCACTCCCAGCTGGCGTCGCACTGCCGTCTTCACGGGCGGGTGTGTGTGGTGGGGTGCAGCTCCCCACTCAGCCTGCTCTGCGACTTCAGCCTGGAGCTTGGGTTTGGGCCCCTCTGGGAAGTGTCTCCACGCGCACCTCCTGATTTCACGACTCCACTGGATAGAGTCCCAGGGGTTGGAGAATTTCGCACTCCCAGGAGCTTGTGGGTCAAAGATAGTCATAAAGGAAGAATGATTAAAGTACTGTGTAGCAACATGTGTCGATGGTGGATTTTACAGGGGAATGCGCAGCCTTAAAAAGACACGCTGGAAAAGGAGAGGCTGAGGGTTCATGGGTTAAGCTTCCAATTTAAGGACAAAAGCATAAACCCACAGGAAGTGGTCAGATAAGAGCAAAGATGAGACAGAAACAAAGCCCCCGGCTGGATGGAGGTGGAAGGCATGTGGCTCTTTGCCGAAGTTTCTAAGGGCACTGGGTCCGGACGGTCAGGAGATAGTGGAAACGGTGCTCGGCTTCAGGAGACCAGCCTGAGGGCTTCCCTCCGCCCCCAGGACCTGTTCTTTAAGTACACCTGGAATAACTTCTTGCACCTCCAAGTGGAACTGTGCATAGCTGCGATCCTGTCCCACGCTGCCTGGAAGGACAGGGCCGAGGCCAGTGGACCTGAGGGCAGGCTGGAGCCTCCACCCCTCAGCGGGGACCCAGAGACCCCCCAGCCTGCTGCCAGCTGCCCCGAGAACACGATGGTGACCCATGTAAGTCCAGCTAGTGTCCGTGCATCCTGTGCGTCACCGTGTGCTGAGTCCCCCCAGACCGTGTGGCGGTACCGTTGATGTGGGCCGTTGTGGCCAGCACGGCCCTGGCCCTTGTGTGTTTTCTCCTCTGACCCTCATGTGACTTGGGGGTGCTGCTCCCCTTTTTCACACAAGACCAGAAGTCACAAGGAAAGTGTCCATGTCTGCCCAGGCCCCCAGAGCTAGTGGAGCAGAGGGGTGGGGGTGAGCAGCCGCGCCGTCAGGAATGTGCTCAGGAGACAGCATGAACGTGTCGCTTCTCACGGGAAGACTTTCTGGGACTGTGAGCCTCATGGATCCTCTGCGTGACACTCCTTTTTCTTCCTGGGCACGTCCTTTCGCCTGAGCGCACTCTGGACGCTCACCCCGGGGCCGCCTGCACGCCGCCGTGTGCTCATGGGCCTTCCCAGGGCTGTGGGCAAGAGCACACCTGCGTCCCTGGGGACTGTGTCCCCAGTGGGGAGGGAGCAGGTACGTGGGAGGGTGGAGCACGTGGCACAGACCATCCCCCAGCTGGAGAGCCCCTGTGAACAGAGGAGGGTCGTGGGGGTTGGCCCTGCCCCTCACCGGGCTGGCTTTGAGGCTCAGACAAGAGGGCTTGGAGGGGGTGCTGAAGGGCTGCTCCTGCCTGCCGTGGCCCGTGTTGCTGGGTATCTACGGGCCTGAGCTGGTCGATGGCCAACGGGGTGAATAGCCGGGGTGGGTGGTTTCAGTGCTGAGAGCCACATGGCGGAGGGAGGGGGCAGGGGCCATTCAGGCCAGGGAGTGATCCCCACCCAGATGAAGAGGCCACAGTTGTGTGAGTGGGGGGGTGCGATTTGGATCCCAGAACAAAAATCCCAGGTGCCTGGAGCCACAGGGCCTGGGAGCAAGTGAGCACAGGGCCCTGGCCTTCCTGCTGGGCAGAGGAGGTGGGAGAGCCGCCAGAGCAGGGTGGGAAGCTAGGGGAGGCTGGAGGAGGCCGAAGAGAATGGAACTGTTCTCTTTCGACCCTGGTCTTGATGGGGAAGGCCCTCGGCAGTGCCTGCCGGGTGTCTGGTGGGGATGGCAGGGCCGGGCTGTCGTGCTGTCACTGCCCACGGGGGACTTGGGGCTGGTGTGTCTCCTTGCTGCCTGCTAAGCCCACTTGGCCCAGGGGCAGTGGAAGGGGGTGTGCACCCCTGCTGGCCTGACTGGTGTTGCCTGTCTCCCAGCTGTTCCAGAAGTGTTGTCTGGTCCAGAGGATCCTGGAGGCCTGGGAAGCCAACGACCACACACAGTGAGAACCCCTGGGGCTTGGGTGGGGCTCTGGGGCTCTGAGGAAGGTTTGTTTGCATGGAAGGGTCCTGCTTCTCATGGCCTCCTGCCCCAGCCCCTGGCTCCCTGAGCCCCTGCCCCTCTACTCCACTGTCCTTTGGCAGAGACCCCATGTCCCAGTGTGTCCCGAATCTCGTCATCTCCCCATCCCAGCCTCCGGCCACTCCTCTCACTGAACTCCTGAGTCCTTGAAAGAGTGCTCTGGGCCACTCCTGCTTTCTTCCTGCCCCACTGGCCTTCTGATGCCTGAGCAGCTGGGATTGTTCTGAAACTAGCAGGTGGTGTCACCCCTGCTTGAAAGTCTCAAATGTCTAGATCCCAGGTGTGCCACAGGGTCCAGGGTTGGCAGCCCCAGCCCACTGTGTTCCCGCTCTGCCTGACCAAGGGCTGCTCCTGGGGGCTCCCAGCCTCACCTAGCTCCCCGCACGTCCCACAGTCACTGAGCCACAACGAGCAGGGTGGGGCCACCCGGCCTCCCCCTCGGCCCTGGTCTGTGCGATCGATGCCCAAGGGGCTGGTGCCGAGCCTGCTCGTGTAAGTGTTGCATGTTGGCGCACGCATGTGCGGCAGTGTCAGGGAGGGGTCCCTGAGCCACAGTAGGCTGTGGGCAGGCTTATGAGCCTGGACGCCTCCATGCCTCAGCCCTGGCCAGCTGCTCCCAGGCCTCCCCCTCATCCCAGCTTCACCTGTGGACCAGGTCGTCGCGGTCCCTCCTCCCTGCCTCTGCCAGGCTGGCCACCGACTCAGGACCACCTTCACTCCCTCTTCTGGGCGTGGCCAGGCTCTCGGGAGGGAGGTGGGAAACAAGCCCCATGAGTGCTGGGGCTCGGGGGCGGCCACTCTGAAATGTGTCAGCATCTGGCGTCTTTCCTGACGCGCCGGGGAGTTTAAGACTTGCTCTTCTGTTGGGTCACATGTGGGACGAGTGAGAAGTTGAGGGCAGAGCCATGTGTTCATGGCCACATGGGACACAGGTAGACAGAGGGCAGGACGTGTACTTCTGCCGGCTGCTGGGTTCCGTGTTGCTCTCAGTCCTCACCAGGAACTGGGGATACTCTGGGTCAGCACTCGCAGCACTGACTGGCCCACTGGCCTGGGCTCAGCCCCGGCCACGCCCGTTCTCTGGTCCATCCGTGCAGGGGTGGGAGCGGCGCCTGCCCGTTTGCACTTCTCAGTAGTGAGATTAGAGTGATGTTGCCATCTAGTAGGCGCTCTCCAAAAATAAGTGTCCCGGAGGCCAGGCCGTGGTGCGGAAGCTGGTTGGAAGGTGGTCCTGGGCGAGGCCTGCCCTGAAGTGCGGTTGTCTCTCAGGGCAGCAGGCGGCATGAGGCGTGGGAACATGGGCCACCTCACCCGGATTGCCAACGCGGTGGTACAGAACCTGGAGCGGGGCCCCATGCAGACCCCTGTCAGCGAGGTCATCCAAGGTGAGTGCCTCCGGGTGGCAGGAGCCCTGTTCCAGATGTTGCTGCCAGAGGCTGCCCTGCACCTGCCTCCTGCTCTCTGCCCTCCGGCCCCTCAGCTGGCGGTACTGCACTGGAACCGAGACAGAGGGCTCCCCTTCCCACCTGGGCTCTCCTGTCGGGTGAGCCTGGCGCTGGGTGTCAGTTCTGAGGGGCAGATGTCTGGAGCCCCTGCCACAGTCATGGCTCTGGTTCCCCTGCATCCCGCACCCCCTGCGTCTGCCCGCACGCCTGCTGCTGCCCCAGCGTCCAGCTCTTCTCTGCACTCGGGGCTTGGCCTGGGTGCAGGGCCTCTGTCTCTTAGAGCAGCCGAGGGGCCTGGACAGAGGCAGCCTGTCCTAGCCAGGCCTTCTCTGCCCCACAGACTTCCTCTCATCACGACCCGCCAGTCCCCCCCTCAAATCTGGGGGCTGCCACCTGTACCTCTTCCTAGCCCTCACACATCCTGGGCACACGGTCTGCAGCCCCCAGGCATCTGGCTTCCTGGGCTGAGCTGGGGAGGGCTCCAGGGGGTCTCAGTTCAGACAGATGGTGGGCAGCTTAGAGGGGCCTCGCTGGGGAGGACGCCTGGCCAGCCTGTACAGGGTGTGCTGGGTGCCAAGAGGGACAGATAATCGGGGCAACCAGGAGGGCCTGAGGGTGACATCCAGTGGGCCCCAAGGGCATGGCGGGTAGTCACACTAGCTTCACAGCCACGATGGTTTGCCCCCGGTCCCATGTGGGGGCCTGAGAACAGGGCTGCCCAGGGTGAGATAGATGCCAGAAAGTGCGCAAAGGATTGAGCAGGCCCACGGTGGGTGTGAGCGACGGGCTCAGCATGCCTTCTGGGGAAGGCGTGGGAGGTGCTGGGTCTGTCCCTGTCCTGTGGCCGCAGCAGCTCTTTTCCCCCGTGGCCCCTGGGGCAGCTGTCAGGTTGTGGAGCCAGGATGAGCTGCCGCTTCCGTCCCAGGGCTTAGCTGGCTGCCTTCTCTGCAGGGCTCCCTGAAGACTGCCGTGGGCGGTGGGACAGCTTCGTGGAGGAGACACTGACGGAGGCCAACCGCAGGAATGCGGTGGACCTGGTGAGCAGCCTGGGTGGCGCTGACCGGTGCTGCGGCCTCAGGCCCTGGGCCTGTCAAGGGTGCGGCCCCTGCAGCCCTCTGAGCGGGGCAGTATCAGCCTTTTGGTTCTTCCCTGGCCTGTGCTCCTGGGGCTCCGGTGTGCCCTGCACAGGGAGGGCAGGTCGGCCGTGGCCCTGGGCCCACCCGTCTGGCTGTTGCAGGTCAGCACCCACCACCTTCACCCCTCCAGCGAGGATGAGGACATGGAGGGCGTTTTCCCCAGCGAGCTGTCCCTTCAGCAGGTGCGTGTGGCCAGGCCCTGCGCCCCTGCAGCCGGGCCCCCACCACCATACTCTGGGCAGCGCTTAGGCCTTGAGGGTGTCCCACTCCCTGGAGTGTCACCAGATGGCCTCGGCAGGACGAGGGAGAGGCGAGCACTGATCCCCGCGCCCCTGGTCCAGCTTGTGCAGGAACTGGGGAGTTAGGGCCCCTAGAGCCGTTTTACACTGGTGAGACCTTTGGGGACGTGGTGGGCGAACTGAAACTTACGAGTTAGGATGAGGCCACCTGCGAGCATGCGCCGTGGGGGTCAGGGTTTGGGAGAAGCTGCTACAGCATCAGTGGCTCCCTCCCCAGGCATTCTCTGAGTACCAGGTCCAGCAGATGACGGCCACCTTTGTGGACCAGTTTGGCTTCAGTGACGAGGAGTTTGCCGAGCAGGACGACAGCGTCAAGTGAGCCCAGCAGCACGCGCCCGCCTCCCTCACGCTGGGCCCCACTTGAACCTCCGCTGCTGCCCGCTCCCCCGTCTTCAGTCCCTGCAGAACAGAGCTGCCCTCGGCTCAGTGTGACCAGGTCCCAGCCCTGTGGCTCGGCCGTCCCTGGCCTTAGAGGCCGTCACACCATTTCCTCGGCTAGAAGCCAAGTGTGACCCCACTGCGCGGAGCTGCCAGGGGAGGTTGGGCTGAGTTCAGCCCCCGAGACACCTTCTGGGGAGGCAGGCTGTTGCCATGCAGACCGGGAACCCGGAGTGGCCAGGTGGAAGTTATCCCCAGGCTGCTCCATCCAGAGGTGGAAGAGAGCCTGAGAGCCTGAGGAGGGGAGCCCTCCCCCGACCCCCACCTGCAGACACTCACCTGGGCTTGGCCCAGAGCCCTGGCCTCCTCTGCCTTTGCCTCCCTCGGATCTGCCTCCCCTCCCTCCTGGTGCACAAGGGATGGGGACGAGCCCCCGTGGGGTGACGCGTGTCCCTGTTTGCCCAGTGCCCCGTTTGACAGGATTGCAGATATAAGCTTCAGTGTGGACGCTGACGAGGACAGCGTGAGTCCATGGTGCTCCTTGGGGGTGGACAGGGTGTGCGGGCCAAGGGCCGCGGGGCCATGTGCGCTCTCCTGCAGCCTGGCGCAGCTCTGTTCGAGGCCTGCTGCAGCGACCACATTCAGCCCTTTGACGAAGAGGATGACCTCTGGGAGGATGAGGAGCCGCACCATGCCGCCCGTGTGACCAGAGCCAGGTGGGCCCTGGGGCCACGCGAGCACCAGCCCTGCCTGGCCACACGTCCCGGGTGTGCGGGCAGCGCTGCTTTGGGGCCCCGCTGTGCTGAGCACGCGTCTCCTCGCAGGTTTGGGGGCCCTCGTGCTTCAGAGAGCTGCTCAAAGGATGGCCTGGAGCGTGGAGTCCAAGTCGGGGAAGGGAGCCTGGGAGCAGATGGGGATGCCGTGCGGGCAGGCGCCTCTTGGGCTGTTGCCCCGACGGAGGGTCCTTGTGCTGAGGGTGGCTCGAAAGGTAGATGGTGGAGCCGTGGGTGCAGGCTGAGCAGAGGAGACATGGGTGGGGACACAGGGACTGGGGATTTGGTGCCCTGGCCCGTGTGTGGCAGCAGCTGCTGTGGGCCTGACACCCTCTGGCCCCACTGCACGTGGTTTCCAACAAGCTCCTGTGCCCCTGACCCTGGTGACACGGGGTTGGTGGGAAATACTTTGGCTCAGCCCTTGGTGGCCCCCTGCTCTGTCACATCACACATCGAGGCTGGTGTCCTTTAATCTCATTGGGGAAGGTGCCCCCATCCACAGTGGGTCACGTCTGGGCTGCAGGGCTCCGAGGGTGGGCGGGGCCCACTGCTGGTCAAGGGGCCTAGACCAGTGCGTCTTCTCAACAGGAGCCACGTGGCCAGTGTTTGATGAGCCAGTGAACTCGGCCGCCTCGGTCCCAGGAGTGGCGGTGGACGTGGGTTCCAGCGTGTGGGCGGTCAGTGCCCCCAGCGCCTCAGCTCCAGAGGAGAAAGGCTGGGCCAAGTTCACTGACTTCCAGCCTTTCTGCTGGTGAGGCAGGGTGGCCGGGAGGCAGCCCTGGCTGTGTGGGGGCCAGGTCTCCCTGACGTGGTCTCAGTGTTAGCCTCGTCTACAGCTCTGAGTCGGGGCCCAGATGCAGTTCTCCGGTGGACATGGGTCCTAGCGATGCCCAGGGTAGCCTGAACCAGGGCCCAGAGAGAACACGTGAGTAGGGCGGCCCCACGGACAGGGGAGTGGCAGGAGGTGGCCAAGGCCCTGGGTCACTGTGTCTCCCTGGTGATACTGAGGTTTGCATCACATCTGGGGACTGGACTGCCCCTCGGAGCTCAGGTCTGACTGACCAGCCAAAACCTGTCTGTGTTGCCAGGCCCCCGGGTGGGCAGTGAGGGCCTTCCCGACCAGGCCAGTCTCCCCAGGCCTTGCTGCCATCCAGGTGTGGGTGGTAGGTGTGCACTGTGCTGCTTCGATGCCTGTCCTGGGGCCAGTACAGAGCCCCTGGCCCTGAGCCCCAGTCCCCCTGTCAGACTGAGAAGCCCTCCAGGATGTCAGGGTCCCATGGGGAGGGACCAGGAGTCACAGGCTGAGTGGCGGTCCTCCCTGCAGGGGAGCAGTCTCTCCCTGCGGTTCCCGTGAACGCGCAGATGCACGGTGGGCACGGTGCGTGCCTGTCCCCATGTCATAGGCTGAAGTTCTTGCATGTTCCACCCTGGCCCACACAGGCTCGGGGGCCCTGAGGCTCTGCCCTGTGGCCACTCTGTCCTCACCACATGTTGCCGGCTTTCTGTCTTGCAGTTGGCCCGGCTGTCCCCAGTGCCTGGAACGTGTATGTCACCAGGAAGGCCCCCCTCGTAGCCTCCAGCAGCCATGAGGACGAGAAGGTGGCAGGTGCCTTGGAGGCTGTCAGTGTGGGTCCTGGCCACAAGGCCCCCCAGCTGCCTGTGTCAGTCCCCAGGTGAGCAGGATGGGGTGGTTGGGAGTCCCCGGCTGCACGTGGAGGTCTGGCTGTCCCCAGTACTTTGCTGACCTGGGAGCTGGCTGGCCCTCCTGCCCTGATGGCCCGTGACCCTGCGGAGGCGGGCTCGGGGAGAGAGGGATGCACCTTCATCTAACTGGAAGCCAGGGGTGTTGTTGAGACGAGCACAGGGCCTGAATCTGTCACCCTAGGGACTGGGGGCTGGGCCACCCCACGCCATGGCCTCGTTGGAGAGAGTGGCCAGGCTTTGGGTAGACAGAGCTGCCACCTCAGGATCTGGGGCTGTTGCGCTTGTGTGGTGTAAGCGTAGTCCCAGACACGTGCCACCTCAGCCAGGCACCTTGGTCACGCCCGGGGTTCTGGGCTGGTAGGAAGGGGGAAGGTCTCGGGACTTGGCTTGGGGCCCTGCAGATGCTCTGACCTGGGGCGTCCTGCACCTCAGTGCCGCATGTCCCACTCCTGTGCACAGGAATTTGGAGTCCACTGCTGGACAGACAGCATCTCCTGGCTGGTGGGTGGGGCGGCGGAGCCAGGGGAGTCTGTGCTGTGGAAACGGAACTGGGCAGGAGGGCTGGTGGGGACACGAGGGAGGTAGGGCTGCAAGGGAGAAGGTGGGGCTGGGGCTCTGTAGGCCTTGGGGGAGGGACGGGGAGCAGATGGGTGTTGGTGCTGCTCCCACAAGGTCCCCAGCCCAGTGACCCTGGGGTGTCCCTCCTGATTTGGGGGCTCCATCTGTCCTGCTGGCGGGTGTCCAGCTCTGGCTCACAGCACACTCGTTCCTGGGGCCCCAGAGCACATCTATCCTCCTGGCCCCTGTCCTGGGCTGGTGGCCGTGGGCACAGCCCAGAGGAGCAGAGGAGGCAGGGCCAAGCAGCTCGGTGACGGCGGGACGGGTCAGGTCGTGGCAGGGGGAGAGCGGGCCAGGCCGGGGGCTGAGTGGGGCACCTGGGTTTGAGGTGCACACGTGGCTCCTTGGTGGGCTTGATCCCTTAAAGTTTAGAATCACTGACATTTTTAAAACCTTTTTCTTTTCCTGACCCCCGACCCTCCCCACAGTCCCCACCCACTGCCAGAGGCAGGTGATGCTGTTTCGGGGGGTCTGTCTGCACGCCGCCCGCAGCAGGGTCCTCGAGGCCTGGCTGACCTGGGTCTTGTCTTCAGGGGCGTCTCGGGCTCTGTCTCACTCTACTTGAGTCCTGACCAACTGGGCAGCAGGGCGCCCTGACTGCCCCTCCAGCCCCCACCCTCACCAGTGCCCAAAGGCCCTTGCCAGGCTTGAGGTGACATCAGGAAGCAGGCACAGGGCCCATGGAAGGGAGCTGTGGGCTGTTTCTCCTCCTGGGCTGCAGCCAAGAGCCTGGTGCCAGGGCCCAGTGTCCCCAGGCTGCCCTCCCCCTGCTCTCCGCATGGAGGGGGCGGGCGACGTTCAGGGCAGACGTGGCCTGTGAGCTGTACAGGGCAGTGCCCTGGGCCCTTGGGGTCTGCAGAGTAGTGGGGGTTGCTAGGATCCCTGAGGGGGCATGTTCCAGAATGGGGTGGAGGTGGGGAAGCTGCAGGAGACCAGACGGGTTGGGGCAGCCCAGGACGGATGCGGCTGGGAAGGAGGCTCCAGGCCTTGGACAGGCCAGTGGCTCTGGTGTGTTTGGACCTCAGGGTGGCAGTGCAGCCTCTGGGCCACCTTGTAGGGTGGAGCCACACTGGGGGTGGCCCAGGTAACAGAAGCCCATCTGCCACACAGGGCTGGGTGCGCCACCAGCACACCACCAGACCCCGCCCCCCCTGCGCCTGCAGAAGAGACTTCTCCCTCGGGCGTGGCTGTCCTCCCCAGGGCTGCCATGGCAGCCACCACAGTACTAGACGACTCTGGCCCCACCCCAGCCACCTTGGCAGCCTCTCCTGTGCTGTCCTTGGCCGTCACCACAGCCCCAGCCAGCCCAGCCCTCTCCACGGTGGCCACCCTGGGTACAGTGACAAGGGACAGGTGAGCAGGTCAGGTCAGGCCATGGGAGGGGGGTGGGCGAGGACCCTCACCCTGAGTGACTCCCACCGCCCCCCTGCAGGCAGACAGACGTGCCGCCGCCTGCAGGAGCCGCCTCAAACGGCCCCGTGTGATGCTGCTGCCGGCCTCGCATCCCAGCCAAGACGACCACCTGGTCACGCAGTTTGTCTTTTTTAATTTAATTTAATTTAATTAAAAAATAAATGCTGCATTGTTAAAGCTGGCAGTTGGAACCAGTCGGACGGCCCAGCCTGCGTTTCTCCTGCCTGACCCCAAGTGGGCCACGAGGGTCTGGCCCCACGCACAGCAATAAGGCCTCAGATGTTGTGCTCTGTCTGGGGGAGCTGGGGCTGCGACCTCAGATGCCACAAGGGCCCAGGGCTGGGCCTGGCACCACCAGCTCCAAGCCTGTTTTTACTGATTTTTTTAAACAAATGCAGAAGAGCCGCATGTTTGCACTTTTTATCTGACCACAGGAGATCTCCAAGGCTCTGGGGAAAATGCTGGTCTGGAGCTGGGCTGGCCATACTGGGTCTTAGCTGCCCAGTGGCCCTGGGAGCTGACCTTAAGTCAGGCTGCAAAATTTGACTGCCTTAAAAAAATATGCCCCTCCATGGCCTGGCAGGGTGTCCTGGCCCTCACGCCACAGTGGGCAGTGGGGCTACCCAGCAAGAGCTGGCGGTGCAGGAGAGGGTACAGGGTGGGCAGAGACACCCCAGCAGTGCTGGGTGGGGTAGGGCCCGCACAGTTGGAGGGGGCAGGACTGAGCTGTCCTGGAGGGGTCTGCAGGGTTACTTTACATGTTCTGATCTTCTGTTGGGGCACCCAAACCCCCAACTCCCAATAAATGTGTTACTCTTACTGACAGACCCGTGTATTGTTAAGCTGCAGGTCTCGAAGCCTGAGTGAGGCCGGCAGCGGGGTTTTCTGGTGCCCCAGGTCCCTCCTTGAGTCAGAAGCAAACTCTGCCTGGAGGCTGAGAGTTGGGCAGGGACCCCAGACCCGCAGGTTCCTGGACATCAGGAACCTTGGCCTTATGGCTGTCCACAAACAAAACCAGGTACTTTCTCACAGCCTAGCCCGCTTGTGTCCAGGCCTGCTCTCACTTCCCGCCCGCACCACCAGCCCTCCTTGACTGGGGGACAGTGGCCACCACCCCAGACCACTCTGGGGTTTTCTCTCGGCCTCTGCAGTGCCTACCCCTATACCTGCTGCCTCCCATGCCCCTGGATGGCACTGTTGCTGGTGAGGTGCTAGACCTGGCGGGACTCCAGTGTTTCTGGGACAGGGGAGTGGGCCAGGGGCTGGAGGAAGGCCAGGACCCCAGGTGAGACCCGAGGAGAGGAAGAGACAGGCACCTGGAGCAGAGTCCCCAGAACGGAAGCCGTCAGGTCCTGTGCCCCACCCCCCCACACGTAACCCACCCCCTGCCGCATCCCTGAGCCCTCAGGCACCCTCGCCCCCCAGGACATCTCCCACCAGGCCCCCTCCTCCCACTCCTCCAGCCCACTGACTCATGTGACCAGGGAACAGCAAGTCTGGACCCTGTGTCCTCCGGCTACCCCTACCCCGTCAGTTCTCTGGACCCAGGACAGCTTCCTAGGGGCCTCTTCCCCTGGTTCCCCTCTTCACAACACACCCCCAGGCGGTACCTTCTGTTCCAACCCTGAGAACGGCCTCCGAGGCCTGGGGGGATGGGCAGCCGGATGCCAGGCAGAGGCCTGGTGCAGCTGTGGCCCCCGCACCAGTACAGGCCCCTCAGTGGACTGGGTGGTTAAGAGGGTGGGGGACCCTCTGGGCGGGCCGAGGACACACAGCCACGTGGCTTGTCATTAGCTCTCTTTATAGATTCTGGTTCTAGGAGCAGGTTGCCTGCGGCCGGCCTGCCGGGGCCAGCACATTGACAGGGCGGGTGGGAGTGGACTATTTACAGGCCGACGGCGAGGGGCTGTACCATGGCTGCTCCCGGTGGCGGTCAGCTGCGACTCCAAAATAAGTTAGAGCCGGCGGGCAGGGTGGGGCTGGGCGGGGACTGTACACACATCAGGGGCGGGGCCTCAATACTGTCAAGGGCGGGGGCTGTAAACATGGCCGGGGGGCCCTGCCCACCCCTAGTGGTCTGCAACGAGTGGACGACTGGACGCAGGGCCGGGCTCAGGCGTCTGACAGGCAGCTCTGGATCTGGTCCACCCACTGCTGGGCTGACGGCACGTCCTGAGCACAGAAGTTGTAAACACGACGTGTCGTCTTCACCTGGGGACAGGGAGACACTGACTCCACGGCCCAACCTGGGCAGCCACCTGCCCCAACCTCCCTGTGCCCCAGTCACAGCTCACATCAAAGAAGGCCTTCTCATCCACGGTCTTGGGGGCACCCATCGTGGGGGTGCCAGGGGACACGGCCTCCACCTCTGCTAGGTCGATGACGCCCTTGCACTCGGTATCCACACGATGGTCATAGTAGCGCAGCTGAGTTGGGGCAGAAGTCAAGGGGAGGCTTCCCCCCCACCCCCCCACCTCCCCTGGCTCACTGACCACTCACCTGGTGCTTGGTCTTGTCCAGCACAAACCAGCGGGCCTTCCAGGGCTTCATGAAGGCCCCTTTCTTGTACAGGGTGCCCTCGTAGGACCTGCATTTGCAGCAGAAGGGGCCCAGTGACTGCCCCGCCTCCCACCCCCACCAGCCCCAGCAGCAAGACCAAGGCCCCTGTCCCCAGACTGACCACAGCCTGGAGCACAGGGCAAGGGAAACTGAAGCAGCCTGGGGCTGTCCCCAGAAAGAAGAAGGGACCCCCACCCCCTCACAGGACAGACACGGGGGAGGGTCCCACACCAGAGCCTCAGGGTTCAGGGAAACAGCCTGACACGCAGAGCCAGGCCCTGGTCCTCCGTGGAGCAGGCACGTCTGGGGAGACTGGCAGCATGGCCCCTCCAGACCCAGAGGGCGGGATGCAGCTTCACCTGGAATCTGCTCCCCCATCACTGGGCACCATGCCTGCCTCGTAGGACCCCATGGCCCCGCCCCTGCCCTCTGCAGCCTCCGCAGCCTGGCTGTGGTCAGCGGTTCTGTGTCCCAAACTCTCCCCACGCCCACCTGCTTCTCTCCAGCAACTGTCAGCTTCTGCTCAGGCCACCATCATGGCCACCCCACAAATCACTCCACCTAAGAAACTAGAAGCTGCCCCAAGGCACCTGATCCTGATCTGGGAACCACCCAGGACCCTGGCGCCCCCAGCTCAAGGCGTTCATGCCGCAGGGGGCGGTGCTTCTCACACCTGTTTTCACTCTCAGCTGTCTGGAACTGGCTGTACAGGGTGCTGGTGCTGCGGCGGGCTGCCTGGCGGGAGCCAGACGCGGTTGAGCCGCTGCTGTGGTCGCTGTCCAGGCTGAGGCTCAGGGTGGAGCCCGCAGGCCCCTCCTGCAGGTACACCCCCAGCGAGCGGCGGTGGTGGGGCACACTGGACACCAGCAGGGAGCTGGGCGCTCCCTGGGGGCAGGACGGTGGGCCTGTGTCAGAGGGGTGACCGCCGCCTCCCCCTGGCAGCAAGCCCGCCCCAGCCCCCCACACCCACACCCGCTCACACGTCCGTCTGGCCGGCCTTCAAGGCGCTGTGCAGCTCTCACCCGGTCCCAGGCGTCCTTCCAGCGCTCAGGGGGTCGGCCCAGCTCTGTCTCCAGCCGCTGCAGCTCCTAGGGGAGAATTCAAGAACTGAAAGATTACTCAGAAGAAAACACTCAGACTGGGATGTGAAAAGACAAAAGGATGGAAAATACAGGAAAGTAAGACAATGAGAAGGTCTAACACACGTGTAAGTGTCGTACAGGAGGTGGCTTTGGGCAAAATCAACAGCTGGAGACAATAGTTGAAACTTTGGCAAAACTAACAAGAGACATCAAAAACATAACCAAGAAACACTACAAACCCCAAAAGGGATAAGCTGAGCACAAACCCAGGATGACACAGGAAAACTCCTGAAAAAGAGAAAATTCCAAAACTAGGCAGAAAAAAGACATGCCGCCTTCAAAAGAGCAACAGTGAGCTGACTTCCACACAGAAAGGCAGTGGACCTGGACGAGCAGCCAGCCATGCAGCGCCGAGGCCCTGAGACAGGACCACGGCAGGGGCCAGAGCGCACCAGGCAGACTGACGGGAGCTCGGGGAGGCTCATGTGCCTGGATCTGCAGGGTGGCAGAGAGAGGAGGCGGCGGCACTGGCCAGAGCCCTAGAAGTCCAGAGAAGGCCTCCTTGAGTCTTCTGCCAAACTGAATGCCATGTGCAAGGCAAGACATCACAGGCCTGGCAGAGAGCAGCGACTAATGCAGGAAGGTGTAGGAATGTGGAGCCAGAGTGGAGAGACCCTACTGAAAACATCAGACCTTCAACTGAAACCCTGAAGAGACCACGCACTTGGAGGAGGCCTCCTCTGAACCCCGGGGAAGGCTTCTCTAGAGCTGCCCGAGCACGGCTGAAAACAACCCCGAAAGACCAGGCTGACCTACGGGCTCACTACCTGCCTGCAAGAGTAAAACCCAAGGCTAGAGGAAGAGCCCATGACCCTGAACCTCGACCATGTCCAGTTCACAGAAAATTATTAGACAAACAAGAAGGCAGGAAGTGAGAGCCATCCTCAGAGGAAGAGACAGACCCAGAAATGAAAGATACTCAATTAGCACACAAAATACTCAAAATTATTACAAATGTGTTGAAGATTTAAAGATAGAGATAACAGTTGAGTAGATGGGGAATCTCTACAGAGAATAAAAGCTATGGAGAAAAACGGAAGTTCTACAGCTGAAAAATACAGTACCTAAAGTGGAAAATTCAGACAGGCTTAAGAGCACGTTAAATCTAAGGAGGAAAAGAGTTCTGGGCTTGAAAAAGAGAGTAACAGAAATCATCCAAAACGAACTGCGGAGAGGTAGCAGTGGAGGAAAAAGACAGTCGGAGCCTCGGTGACCTACAGGACAAGAAAGTCCCAGAGAAGAGGAGGGAGAGATCGTGCAGAAAAAACTTTTTAAAGAAACAGTGGCCTGAAATGTACTAAATTTAATGAAAACTATCACTTCATACATCTAAGAAGCTTAAAGAGCTCCAAGCAGGACAAATACAAAGGAAAAACACATGATGGCCAAACTGCTGGAACCAAAAGCAAAGGAAAAATCATAAAGGTCACATCACGTGAGGTTTACAACAGTAAGAACCATCACCAACCTTTAATCAGACACAGTGCAAGACAGGGAAGAGCGGAATGACATCTTTAAAATGGAGGGTGTGAATAGCTGTCAACCTAGAATTCCATCCAAAGGAAACACCCTTTGAAAAGGCGCAATGAAGGCATTTTCATGTGAACAAATGCTGAGGGAATCTGTCACTGGCAGACCTGGGTTACAAGAAACATTCAAAGTTCCTCAGGCTGAAGAGAAATGATACCAGAGCAGATCTACACTGAAACAATGAAAAATGCTGGAAATGGCAAAGAGAGGGCTTTTTCCTTGTTTCCTACTTTCTTTAAAACAAAGTTGACTATTTAAAACAAACGCAATACATGCTGGGTGCTGATCTCCTAGGTAAAAGTAAAATGTCTGATGACAGAGCCATGCAGGCTGGGAAGGGCTGAGTGGATGGTTCCCTGGGGGGGTACAATCCAACCCCAGATGGACTGTGACTGTGGGCACTGACAACCCATAAATGGCTCAAGATATACCCCCAAAACCAAATAAAGTGGACAACACAAAATAGTAATAAATAAATACTCAACTGTTAGGGAAAATAACAAAAGGAAGAAAGGAGCAAAAAATAAATGAGGTAGAAAAGAGCCAGAAGCTAGACTTCACACCAGTAATCAAATATCAATGGATTAAAAATTCCAGTAAAAGAAAAGGCAGGTAAAAAGAAGAGCTAACCACATGCTGAGTACCAGAAACTCACCTTGACCGTAGACACAGACCTGACAGAAGCAAAAGCGCCACACACAGTAATGCCGCACAGAGGCTGCCGGCTGGGGGCCCGGCCCCCAGGCCACAGTCTTCCCAGAGACAGAGAGGAGCACTTCTCTGCTCTGTGTCTATGGGTCACTTCCGCCCACAGAACTACGACCTGGCTCCCCCAAGACCTGGGTGGCAGGTGTCTTCAGACCACGCCAGTGCTGGGGCGTCGAAACATACTACCTGTTTGGTTACATCTCACCACCTCCTGGAGAGGCAGGAGTCAGCATCCCTGCTTCCCCCACAAGGACACTTAGATGCTCACCAAAGCCAGCCGGCCACAGAGTGGGCAGCGGGATGCAAACCTTCCTCTGGTCTGGACCTGAGGCCCACTGCCTTCTGATGGCTCGGCCCCAGAGAGAACCCTGGCCACTGGATGGCCACCCTCTATGCCACCCCCAGCCCCTCCCCGCCCATGGAGCTCTTTTCCCTCTCCCAGAGGTCCCTGCCCTATTGGATCCTGATTGCTGAGGCTGAGCAGACATGCCCACCAAGGACAGCAAAGAGAGGGTGAGAGGCCAGAACGTCCATCCCAAGCTTCCAGGCCTGTCTCTGAAGGGGGCACCAGAGGGAGAGAACCCAGCAGAGCACTGTCCACATTAGGGTGGGTGGGGCAGCTAGACCTCAGTATGCCTGACAGCCAGGTACACGAGGAAGAAGAGGGCAGAGGTCTGCAGAGCACAGGGAGGGCACCTGGGAACATGCCGATTTCCCCGAAGGCTGACCCCCACGAGCCGGGGGCAAGGAAGCCGAGTCCTGAGACCCGGGGGTTCACGGTAACAGCCTCCGGTGTCCACAGGGAGCCATGGGTACCAACCGCCAGTAGGGTGGGGGAGGGCAGGGCCACAGGACCGGCGTGCGTGCTCGGACACCCCCTCGGAGTCTCAGGGCCCGGCTGGGCTGCACGCACCTCCAGCAGCCGGGAGATGGCGTCAGGCTGGAC